TGACAGATTTACAGCAGACAGGAAGTCAATTACACTTATTTACCACCTCACTTTATTCACCTTATGCTGCTGTAGGCGCTCAGCATTGCCTTAATATGTTGGTACATCTGGTTAAACTGTAATTACTATGACTTAGCTTTATCAAACATTACTTGCCGAAGAAACTGTTTATAAGCTTTTGAATTAACTTGTATTAGGTTACCAATCTGTGAATAGTTTGAATTTACAGCCATGTTTGGAGCTGCTGCTGGATGAGACCAGCTGATTGGTTTTAAAAAATCACATGTCAACAATGTTTTTATAATTACTCTCATGGCCAAAAGGGCAGACACAATCCTGCACTGCAAGACAATCATAAAGAGATAAATAATATATATTATATAAATGTGGTGGTAGCTAGCAACGAACATTGGCTAGCCAACTACTTCAATAGATACAGTAGCGTGAATAAGCTAGCTTTGAAATAAGATAGCCAACTTTCAGCTAACATAAGCTAGTTTACTTGTTAGAAAACAAACGTTAGCTAGCTAGCTTGTTAGATAGCTAAATAGCACACAGACTGAATTGAATTCAGCTATGTTGACTTAATAATTCAAATGTATATTCAAGAGAGCCAGTAGCGTAAATTGGCCATAGCTAGCTAGATAGCCAACATTCTCTAGCTAGCTTGATAAATAGGTAGCTAACTTAAGATAACCAGTTAGATTTGAAATGAACGTAAGCTAACTTACGATAGAAGGCTAACGTAAACTAGCCAGCTCTTAGATAGCTAATGTTGGCTAGTTAGCTTGTAAAATAAATAACTAATGTTTTCTAGTTAGCTAGATCGCTAACATTCGCTAACGAAATAGCACACTGACAGGTTAATTGAATTTGGTCTCTAGGTTAATCTTTTTTATACATAGCCTAACTATGGACCTTAGTCTCCCCCTTCTGGCAGTGAGAGTTTTTATAAATTGTCCACATGAGCTTTATATGATCGGCCGATGTTATTCTATACTGTAGCAAAACATTTGCTCATGTAAGACTTTGGGCCATTTTCATGTCATCCTACAACCTCTAACAGAGGCTTGATGTGGTCCTGTAAAACAATTCCATAGTTAAATTGTAGCGGTGAATAATTCCAAACAAAAACTGGAAGAACTGACACTTTTATGTTTGAACCATAGGTGGTAAAAGGGCCGGTGCTTCATAAGGTGAATAGTCCAGGCATCTTTGCAAAAAGAACTTCAAATCAGAATGGGATTCAAGCCACACAAACACACAATGCATGACTCTAACACACACAAACAGGTGTAGTGGAGCTGGTTTAGTGAACAGATACTGTGCTGTCAGAGAGCATCAGTGGGTGTCCATCCGTGAGCACCGTCCTTAAAAAAGACGGTGTCTTCCTCCCTCCATTTCCATTTCATTTTCCTCTCGAGCGGCTCCATTACGGCTCTTAGTTGCTCCATTTCTCGTTCACTTTCTCCGTTAACAATGTTGCAGTGTGTCTCCTCTCGCCCCGTGTCTTTAGGGCTTCATTTTGGCTCGGGCGGGGGGTGAGGGGTTGTTGTTTCCATCACTGCCATTAAGGGGCTTTTCAAATCCTGCTTGCGTCCAACTGGGGCTCAGTTTCTTAAAATGGGGTTCCTCATCAGGGGCTGAAAAGAGGGAGGATTGTGCTGAGCTGTGACTCTCCATTTTCACCTCCTTCCCTCCTGCAATCAGCTCAAAACCTGCCTGTTTTCCTGCATGTCAGAGTCACTGCTCCAGCCACATATAGACCGTGCAAATACCATTCATTTCCTGTCATGTGTAAAAATGCTCTGATTCTGAAGCTGTGTTTTATGAAGTCTTTTATCCGTGCAATAGGGACCTCAGTAAGAGCAGCTGTGTGACTGCTCAGCGAGATGTTTATTGGTGCGATAAAAGAGAATGTAAGTGACGGTGGTAGATTCTGGAGTAGTTTCTATTGAGGTTATAACAAGTAAAGCCCATTTCTTTAAGAGTCTCTTTACTGATTATGTTGTAACAAAGCATGTTTAATCCCTGAGCATTTGTCAGCCATAACACTCAACACAAGGGCCTTCGGGGGTGGGGGGGATAAGAGCTGAAATCAGCCCACAGTTTGCATATTTCCTATAAATTCTAGGATGTAATCAATGAGATGTTCAAGGAGTTATGTGGGATATCCAAAACACAAATTTCCCTATCGTAGCTGCTCTTGAATTCTGGTATATTGGTGGATAATTGGTATTTTTTTATGGATTGATCCCAGTTGAAGGCTGTTAACTAAACAAAATATTTTACTGTTTGGTTTGTAAATTGGTCTACCATACATGAACTTTGCTCAAAATACAAACTAATTCCTCTACAGGCAGTACAAGTAAATCCAAGCAAAGAAACATGCTTTATTGTATGCCTTAAATCCCAAAGCAGTTTTGTTTTTAAAATGTAAAAGTATAGTATGTTTGCATCAATGATAAAATGCGGCGTCAACAATAAAGAATTACCTAGGAATTCAAGGTTAATCAGGAAAAGGCGTAACAGAGGAAAACTTGCAAATTCAAAGTAATACTTGTAAAGTACCTCATTCAAAACTGAGGTACTTTACAAGAGGCCGGTGAACACCATATTATGTCAGGTTGTAAATAAAGATTTATAAAGAAGGATGTGTGATGTATAGCCACTGAAATCTTGACTCTGCTTATACTGCTTAAAAGATTTACTAGGTATTATTACACAGCTTAGTTGAATGCTCAATGCTGATTGGTCAATTTGGACATTCTGGGGGTCTGCTATTTTTGGCTCGCAGACGGTTGCTAAGGAGAACAGACCGTTGATAAGGAGAACAGACCGTTGCTAAGTAGGATCAAGGGACTATGTGCAGTCATATCAGTCCGGTCAATTTAACACCAGCTGTGGCCAAAAAAATAAAGTACAATATATTTTCAGACAGGAAGTAAACACTAAAGGGAACAGCAGAAGAAGACAGACAGGAAGTACACACTAAAGGGAACAGCAGAAGAAGACAGACAGGAAGTAAACACTAAAGGGGACAGCAGAACAAGACAGACAGGAAGTAAACACCAAATGGAACAGCAGAAGAAGACAGACAGACAGGAAGTAAACACTAAAGGGAACTGAAGAGTGCAGAAGAAGACAGACAGAAAGTAAACACTAAAGGGAA